GGAGCCCATACACCTAGTCTCGTTGATCAACATAAGATTTTGTTATTGGATACGGCAGATGGAACCAAAACCACGCACCTGCACCGGTTGGTACGCCATATAACTGCACATGGCTGGGAGACGTCAAGGCATGGGAGTAAAGTTTCCAATTTGCGAGGTCTTTACTATGATAAATAGGCACGCCCGGGTAGTATTCGAAGGATGATGTTGCGATGAAGTAGTCATCTTCAACTCGTAAAATACTGGGATCGGGATTCCATCTGCTCAGACGTTAGATGACCAATGTACTCAAGAACGGAGGTCACATGTATGATGCGCACCCAGATATGATGGGATTCTTGATGGCCTCGACACATGTGAAACTAAGCAACAAAGATAGTGCGTGTACGGGCCTCATGTTTGCAGCTGGGTGTCTGTCATTGGCTGTGAGAGCACGATTGAAACCCCAAGTTACATCTCATACCTTGTAAGACATCCCCGCATCTATCTACTAAAATGCCTAAGTTTTGTATCTTGGGATGAACTCAGTCTGCAAGGCCTTCTGGAGTGGGATCATTGCAAGTCTTGTCGAATGGGGAGCATCACCACTTGCTCGGCCCGGGCAATAGGCCGTGTCCCGAAACGACGTTAGACCTTCCCCCCGGCCCCCCGGCCGGGGAGTCGCGAACTCGGGTTTGCTGCTTTCTTGCTTGGAGCTCACGGAAATATCAGCTCCGGCGGGCGCGTTGATGTCCCTGTTCTTCTTCTCTTACCCCGCACGTAACCCCTGATCCCCCATACTTATGGAGGTTAGCGGTGGGGAAATGAGATTGCGGGTGATCAAGAGTCGGTGCGGCGGTCAATCGCTACAGGTTCGGCGTAATCGATCTCTGCAGCGCGGGCCCCTTGCAGACCTCTCGGCCCGTGAGTATTTGATACATTTGGGTGCTCATAAATTCCTAGTTCCACCCCGGCTTATAGTGAAGCTGGTACCTGCTCGGCGCCTTGGGCTTGAAACATAATTGCACTGCGATCTTGTTAGGCTGATGACCATGGCATTTGCAGGATCAACCCATCGCCTCTTCAGAATTGTCTTGGCTTTCTGGCTCTTCAGTGGCCATGCCTTAGCCACTGGGGGGTTGAACGGTCTGCCTGTCCTAAATGGCCCTATCAATCCTACAAACCCGGTGCTCGGGATGAAAACTCGCGTAGGCGACTTCATCCATCCCGGCCTTTGGCACACACATGACGACTTGGAAAGAATTAGACTAGGAGTCAAAAATGGACAAGAGCCTTGGAAATCCGCTTTTGTAAACTTCAGTACCGATCCTTTCTCGAGCGGTGATGTAAGTCATTACTCGATTGGTCAATCCTTGTATGATCAGAGCTCACTAACACCCATTTCTAGTATGTCATACAAGGACCAAAGAAGGTCCTCTGCAGAGGATCATGCAGCAATTACACGACATTCTCGAATGACGTGCGCGCAAGCTATCAAAATTCACTCATGTGGTACTTCACAAGAAATCAAAGCCATTGGGACAAGGCTACTACTATCTTAGATGCATGGGGAAGTAACCTAACCGACATCATTGGTACAGACACCTCTCTGCTAGTCGGACTTGAGGGAGACATGTTTGTCAATGCCGCGGAAATCATGAGATGGGAAGGAGGCTGGGTAGAGCAAGGAGCGAAGCCGTCCGGAGGGTCAGGGTTTTCCAACCAGCTTTACTGGCTGTTTGCTCGGCAGTCAATCATCATCGGCCAGGCAAATTATGGATTGGCAAGCATCAAGGCACTGCTCTCCTTTGCAGTCTTTTTGGATGATGTCTCCATGGTAAGACTAGTCCTCGCCGCCAAAAGTCCTTCCACAACAACGTCCTCGCACATAAGCTAATCCTGTGTTTCACCGATCTGTAGTACAATTATGCCTTATATGCCTACCAGAATGACCTTTGTGCCGGATTGCGTGGCAATTACGACACAGAGACAGGGCAATGTGCCGAAACAGGTAGAGATCAAGGCCATTCGATGACCGGCCTCGGATGGGCTGCGGAGGCAGCTCGCGTCATCCAGTCTCAGGGCACTGATCTCTACAGCTTTGAAAACAATCTCATCCTGAAAGCCGCAGAATATACTGCCAAATACAATTTGGGTTATGACGTCCCGTACGACCGCAAATTCTACCGATGCGAGGCAATCTTGATCAATGGCCCCTGGGCTGCTCCTTCAAACATCAGCAGGGGTATCGTCGGGAGCCCCAAGGTTTGGGATGTAAGCTTCACTACGCCTACTTGAAAACGGGTAAAGAAAAATTGATTGGCGGCTGACATTGAACAGATATTGTATTACCAATATGTTGTCAAACGGGGCATGAAGGCTCCCTGGACGACGCAAGCAAAAAAGCTGGCCGATTCCGCAGGAGGTGAACAGCACAGTAAGAATACAGCGGTCCTTTTTGTGAAAAGACTCAGTACTGACTAATTCTAGTTGCCGGAACCTACTCGGACCATCCAGGCTGGGGGGACTTGATCTGGTCGTATCCTGGGCGAGGGGCATACCTGAACAAAAATGACCGAACTATCTGGGGAGGAGGCTCCATCGGGCCCGACGGCAAAGGAAACATCAACACCAAATAGAATTCATTCTCAACCTTCCCCGCTGTGTAAATAGCAAAATGTGATAGTCGATCAACGATAGAGCGATATAATTGTGTCACGGAGTAGCATCTCTCCCCTGCTCACTACGAGCTTATCTAACGATGACCGGGGGCTCACGATCATATACAAGCCGGGTCCTCGCCCAATTGCACTCTGTTACTTAGATATTACAATGCACTACTTACAATGCTCGCACTCCCTCTCTACTGCTCGCCACAAATTGTAAATGATGCATTTGAGAACAAGGAGTGGAAATGTCACGCTAGATCATTGAATATTCCTATGAGAAGCGCTCCACTCTTGTAATTGGATAGAGATGTGTTAATGAAAATACGTATGTTAGCATTAGTCTGGAAGATAATGACTACAGACAAATGAAAAGGCTGACCTGTCGCACTTGAGACGGCAACATCTTACCTTTGTTGAGATAAATCTCCAAATATTACGAACTAAAGAGGAATACAGTTGAAAGACGCTTCAGCCGCAATCAGCGGTGCTTGTACGACCGACGGCGCATTCGGTCATACGCGTCTTCATATTCGGGGGCAACCTCAGGTGGCACTTCATCGAGAATCGTGCCATCGGGATCCTCAGTCGATGCGTACTTGTACTGGAACGGAGCTTTGGGCACTGAGAATGACGACGAACGTGACGTGCGTTGTGGTCGATGAGCATAATACTCTGGCCCGTCGCGAGGCCGTTCATAGAACTCCGGTTGAGCAAAGGACCGGGAAGAGCGGCTGGATCGGCGCGACTCCCTCTCCGGCTCGTACACACGGGCTTCGGATGGCTTTCTGGTTGAATATGACTTACCTGTACTTTCTGTGCGTGATAAGGGCGGTCCTCTTTGTGAAGTCGATCGCTTCATTGATGGACGATGGCTGGGCTCTCTGTAATCGCTTCTATCTCTTGTCACGCTTGGCTCCCTTGTTGAGAACGAGCGCCTTACACTATATGAACGATGCGGCCGGTCATAATCGTCGCTTTGGTCATAATACTTTGCAGAACGCGATGCTGAGGGTGGGTACTTACCATGTCTCTCTCCAGGAGACGGAGGAGGTGAAACATAAGCAACGTTGTAGCCCCTGTCCTCCTCATAATCGAATCGGGGACGATCAGAGGACGACGAGCTAGTGAAGTAATCGGTGGACTGGGCCCTGTTGACTCTAGGACGTGGCATGTTAGAAACACAGTATTTGTCATGGCACTGCCCAGGATGGCGCAAGTCGTAGCATTCCCTTGGACAGCAAAGATGACAAATAGAGCAACGTATGCTGATCGGTGGATAAGACATATCTTCGATGTGCTATTATTTCGCAAATGTAGAGTTGCTGTAGGGAGGTAGGCTCTGCAAGTGAGGGAGGTACCGACGAGAACTTCTGCTGCTTTGCAATGGCTGAACGATGGATTGTTGGTCTGAGATATCATGACATTCAGTCAGCGCGGCCTTTGCCGTTGCCTATATATGTAAGACATAGCTATGACAGACCGTCTACTAAGGAGGAAAAATGCGTTGTGTGCATTACAAAAGCGCCTTCGCTTTGCAACAATAAAATGCTGATTTTCATTCATACAAAGAAATCGACAAAGAAACATTCGAACAATAGAAAATCATGAGGCGAGCAATGCATGCTACAACTCAATCTATTGTTTGCAAATGGACGCCATAAAATAGACCACCGATTCGGGAGCCAAAGGTGGGAAACTTCGCCTCATTTTCAAAGACCATCAGCGAAGTCCCTTTCCCGAGTCGGAGAACACGATACCACACCAGCTTCAACTCCGAGGTGCCATCTCATTGACACGCCTGAGAAGGCTACTGGTTAGTTCATTTTGGAGGCAGAAGTGCTTCGACCTAAGATGTAAGTTAATCACCGCAGTCGTGTATTAAAGCATGGAATCCCCTGTACGTAACTAATGCTAACTTTGATATACAGGTGCAACCTCGAAATAATATTGTACGGCTGTGGGAGGCGGTTTGCTATCCATGCAGGCGTGATGATTCCAACGAGTAGACACATGGTCTATCGCACGTCACCATGTATCTTTCGAGGCTCGGAGCTGTTATGCAAGCCGGTCGTGACGCACTCTGAGCTGGAGGCTGTCTGTCCCAATTGCGAGAGATGGTGCTCCAAGCCTCACTTGAAAGCTCTACGCAAGGAGATCAATATCTTCGCGGAGCAGGACTGCGACTCCTGAGGAGCCCGGAGCAAACTAGAAGAAGAGGCAGCAATGTGGCCTCTGATAGGAGCGACAGCCTTCCACTTTTCATTTGTCGACCTAGGTATCGCAAATAAACGCCGCATTCATGTATGAAGAATATTAATTGCCCTCCATCTTGGCAGTTCAATACACATATGACTATTTCTTGCCCTTGCCCTTGCGTTTCCTTGCTCCAGTCGTGTTTTCTGCTATCATGGGCTCTGCGTCCTCCACAGCCTTCTCATCATCCGTGTCTCCATCATCCCTTCCGATCTCAACGAGATCACTCGAGTCTCCATCTGCTTTGAGAGCCTCGGCATTGAAGCTATCTCCTTCGTCGTCATTTACCGAGGTTGGTGATGCAGGTGACTGACCAAGCACTTCTTTCACGATCCGCTTGCCTTCGTCCAACTCCCCATTCATAGCCCCGCAGGCCATGCATTTCCACATCCCCAGCTCTGCCAGGCTCTTTGTGCCGGGCGGTGCTTGTCCGTTGACCAAGCGGCAGCGGCTGCAGACCAGAACGATCCGGTTCTTTGGCGCCGTCTCATCTTCTCCTAACAAAAGATCGAGGATTCTGTCGTACCAGTGGGACTGGGACACGCCGAGATACGCCCCATCGTGCTGTGCTGCCAGTGATGGCGGCAAGTTGCCATTATCAAAGGCATTTGGCGCAAACTCCGCCGAGGCATCTATCTCCGGAGCATGACGGCGCGGAGGCTGGGAAGGGGTGCTGAAGGGGCTTTGCGCCGCATGTTGCGGTGTGCCCGGGCCAGGTGAGAATTGCACTCGAGCGTCACCTCGCGGGATGTTGGCTGTGGGCGGCGGCGGCATGTTGGTCCGATTGGGCGGGCTGCCTCCTGTTGCACCCTGTCGTGACTTCTTTCCGCGGCTTCCTCTGCCACCAGACGCGTCGCCTCCTTCATCTTCACCGGATGCCTTCTTCGCCCTTGAGGACTTGGGGTCAGCGCCGCCGTATTTTTGCAGGAGCTCAAGGGTCGAGTCGTATTTTGTGGCGTCCTTGAGCTTCTGGATTGTCTTTGCCCGCTCGTTTTGCTGGTCCTTTAGGCGAGCACTCAGGGAGTCGGTACGGAAGTTGAAGTACAGGGCGAAGACAGCCCGGACAAGGTATATGCTAGAGAAGAGAGAATTGTGTCAGCAACAGTAGTGATATCCATCACAAATCCAAGCAGTCTGCCCGACCTGACGTGACTTACACGACGGGGCCAGCGGCCATTCCGGACCATTCGTAGACACCCATGTTCTTCCACCCAACGACCAGCAGCAAGACGATAGCGTAGACGAGATATGCGAAAGACAGGTACAGAGTGGAGAGAACCTTGACCCGGCGGGCGGTGGCTCTCAGGCGGTCGAGCTGGGCCTGGGAGTTTGTGATCTTTGTGGAGAGGGTAGACAGGGTCTTCTCAAAGGAGGCAGGAGAGGAATCATCGCCCTGTCAGCAGCAAGCAAAGTCAGCAGTCAGTTATATCACAAGACTTGGCCAGGCAGAGAGTTCTCCGTAGACTGGAGTATGCTGAGGCAGCTCTGGGAACTACGGATAGCTTCCTGATGGCTAGGGTTGCTATGATGTGGAGCTTTGACTTACCCTCCATGGCCAGAAGGACACCATGACGACTGAAAGACAGGAAGCTCTAAGCAGGCAAAGATATCGATATCGCTATCGCGTCGAGCCGAGTCAAGTCAGATGTCGAGTCGAAGGGCCCCAGCTGCCGAGTTGCCCGTTTGTGTTACCCAGCCTCCGGAACCTCGTCGTCGCGAAGAGTCGCGAACGAGAGCCGTTCTGTAGACAGGTAGACGGTAGGTACCCGGGTAGCTAGGCCCTTGGAGCTGTGGAAAGAAGCGGTGGAAGAACAAGACGTTGGAACATGTGTATGCGAGTATGTATGTTATAATGAGCAATGTTGACGGCGCTGAGAAGAGAAGAGCATGTCGACGATGGTGGTGATGGTGGTGATGGTCGGCAGAAACCAAGACTGCAAGCACGCACACTTCACAACGTAGGTACTCAGTACAGCAATTAGTGTGACCTCATCGCTGGAAAAGGGAAGGGCACCTGAGCCCACCTGCACACGTGTACTCGGCAGTATACCCAGCGATGTATAGGGAGCTACCTAGGTACCTACCTACCTAGGGACGCTAGGTACCTATGGAAGGGGGGGCCTGTGCACGCTCCAGGGATGTTTGAGCTGTGGGTATCGGGGCATTTTGACACCTACCGCAGTTCCTAGGGAGTTGGTTACCTTACCTAACCGAACCCGATCTTGAAGGCTTCTTGGAGACTCTGTTCACCCTTTCTTTTTGGCTGGGAATTGCTTCACGACTGTCAATAGATCACCTATATCTATCTACCTGGGTACTCCACCACTAAACACCGAGCCCGATCAGGGATGCATGCATCTGCCCTATATACCTCCCTACTTCTACTTGACGCTATAGCATCGGTACCTTGATAACAAATGCGCCGCTAGCTGTGAGAACAGCGTATGCTCCCTAACCTTGAAGCTCTCCATCTTACTGCTCTCTCGAACCTGACGACCTGGATATTTGCTCACCCAAATCTAATACTCGATTCTGCCTTGTCTCTGAAGAGCCTACGGCCTGTGGCTCGGGCAGCGCAGGCTACTTTTCCTCATAGATCAGCAACATGTTCCAGGTATGCTTGCAGACACACAGGCAACGCGCGGCGTCACGACGCTGGCTCAATCTCCAATCCTACCCGTCTATATAACCCTACCTGTCTGCCTGCCTCCCTCTATATGTATGTATGCTGACCAGAGCAACCTTCTGTGCCTGTGATAGAGGATCAAAGGCGCAATTGACCGCACCATCGCCGAAGAGCAAGCCCGCCAGAAAGCACTTGCCGATCCGAAGGCCGCCGGCTCTACGACTCCATCTCTATCACGATCCGCCAGCGGCACCGGTGCCTCCTCTGGCGCCCGGCGACCCCGACCCAAGAAGGCCAGCCAGGATGTCTCCAAGGACGCCTCCACTGCCGAGCCGCTCGTCAACCCTGACCCCGCCGTGTTCGAAGCCGCCTTTGTCATAGACGACGAGGACATGAGCCGCGCCACCACTCCAAAGCCCTCGACGGGGGAGACAGATGCATCCGCAGCTAAAGAAAATGGGAATGGGCAAGAGGCGGCAGCACCCGAATCCAATGGAGATCAACCTCCTGATGGCGCATTGGACAAGCACAATGAGAAAGTCGAAGGATCGGACCAGCATGCCATGCCTGCTACCGCCCCCAGCAAGGCCACGCCTCCCGAGCTTCCCGCCGAGGTGCGATCAAAGCTGCGGAAGCTGGAGAAGCTCGAGGCGACATACCCAGGTCCGTACTTTATTCTGCATAACACCCCGGCGATAAGACCTGACTGACATACCTACAGAGCTTTTACGTTCCTACCGAATCGCCCATAGTCGAGCGACGTCTATTGAGCCCTTCGAACGAGCGCTGCGAGAGAACACCCCGCTCACATCCATCAAGGACCCCGACGCCCTGGTCGAGTACTTAAATCAACTCAATCTCAAGGGAGACATGGTCATGGACGAGTTCAAGCGCGTATCCGCCGAGAAAGATAGCTTCAAGCAGAAATACGAGAATGCAGACAAAGAGATTGCTGCACTCAAGGAGATGGTGGAATCACTTCGCGCGGGCAAGTCAGAAGAGGCCGTCGCCCAGGACAAGGCGTCTTCGGAAGCAGCTCCGGAAGAGGAGAAAGGGGATGATCCCGCCACACAGCACTCACGCTCACCATCTGCGACTAAGTCCCCTGTCGCTCAAGTCCTCGGCATCTTCTCGCCGAAGCAGAAACCGCAGATTCCTGCGGATAGCACTGCGGACAAGGAAAACGACGAGGACTTTTTTTCCTACGACAATGAGATTCCCCAGCTTCAGGCGGAACTCGAGGCAAAGTCAAGCGAGATCGAGAAGCTGAGGGCCGAAATCACCTCACTCAGGGACGAGCTATCCACCGCTAAGGAGAATAGTTCAGGCCTGGTCGAAAGCCTTGAAAGTGCAACGAGGGAACTCAGCGAGTCACGAGACACTGTTGCGGTCTCCGCCTCGCTCCAGACGCAATTGGATGCGAGAAACAGTGAGATTGCATCTCTGAAAGACCGCCTCGAAAAAGCTCAATCGCAACTGAAGGAACTCGAGTCTCAAGTCGAGCAGCAGAAAGCTTCTTCAGCATCCGCGATCAAGGAGCACCAGGATGAGATCGCCACGTTCACTGCCAAGTCCACCGAGCTTGAGGTAGAGGCGAAGAAGGCCGCCGAGGCCAAGTCGATCTTAGACAAGAGAGTTGCTGACCTAAGTAGCCAGATCGACTCACTGAAGGAGTCCAAGCTAGAGGGTGAACAAAAGCTGCAAGAATTGACCAAGAAACTTGAATCTCCTACGTCAGCGCCAGACACTCTCGACGTGCCGACTTCCCAGCCAGCGGCATCGTCGGCTTCCTCCAAAAAGAACAAAAAGAAGAAGAAGAAGGGCGGCGCTGGGACAGCTGGGGCCACCCCGGCAACCGAAGCCACGGCCGGCGATGTCTCCGATCAACCTCCCCCCTCACCAGTTGGTACGGCCGATGCTGAGGCACTGCGCGCGGAAATTGCAGAGTTGAAGGAGGATGTTCAACAGAAGGACGCTCAGATTGAGAGGCTCACTAAGCAAAGGAAGACGGAAGATGATCTACGGGAAGAGATTGAGACATTGCAGGAGAATTTGCTGACCATCGGCCAAGATCACGTCGAGGCGAAGGAGAAGATCAAGGCGTTGGAAGGAGAGAAGGCCACTCTGAAAGAGCGTATCACTGAGCTCGAAAAGGAACTGGAAACCTCGTCCGCCACATCGCAGTCAAATTCCAAACTCCAGAGCGAGTTTGAGTCTCTCAAACGAGACTATGAGGAGATAAGGGCCAAGAGCTCAACATTGCAATCGGATCTCGGGGCAGCTCAGCAACTTGCACAAAGCCGATATAAGGACCTAACCGATCTACGGGAGGTTCTACAGAAGGCACAGCCAGAGCTCAAGAGCCTCCGCCAAGAATCTGCTACGCTTAAAACCACCAAGGAGGAGCTGACTTCGAAGACGGCCGAATTACGAGCCCTAGAGAAGAGGGAAAAGGAACTCAAGACGGAGATTACGAGAGCACAGCGCCTAGCCGCTGACCGTGAGGCGGAGATTAAGAACCTCCGTGAAAAACTCACTACTGAGACGAATACTCGTCTTCGGTTGGAAGATGCCCAGCGTGTATCCGGACGAGATCTTCGTAGAACTGAAGCCGAGAAGATCGAACTCAGCGCGAAGGAAGAAAAGGCCTCGAGAGAACTGCAACGTCTTCAGGACGAGATGGCAAAGGTCCAGCCACGAATTAAAGAGCTAGAAGAGGAAACCACAAGGATGCGCAAGGAGCAGGAGGTACTCCGAGAAGAGGCGGAGCTCAAGACATCACAGTATGCTAACGCTCAAAACCTCCTTGGCAGCATGCGCGACCAGACTGCCGAGTTGAGCATCCAGCTCAAAGAGTCGCAAGGACAGGCGGAAAGTCTCGATGAAGAGCTTGCAGAATGCCGAAAGCTTCTTGGAGAACGAACTCGTGAGGCGGAGACGATGCGTCGACTCCTTGCCGATGTCGATGAGCGCGCTGACAGCAAAGTCCGCGAGATGAGAGCCCGACTTGATGCTGCGATTGAAGAACGTGATCGGCTGGAGGACGAGTCGAGTGCCCTGGCAAGGCGCAAAGCTAGGGAGACGGAGGAACTGAAACAGAAAATCCGTGACGTGGAGAGGGAACTGAAGACCATCTCTAATGAGAAGGATGACCTAGAGCATCGCGAGCGAGAGTGGAAGCGTCGCCGTGAGGAGTTGGAGGCAGTTGAGCAAAAGGCCGATGCCGAAGTCAACGAAATGCGATCGACAGTCTCAAATCTCCGATCCACGCTTGATGCCTCAGAACAACAGGTCAGAGATGCCGAGAAGGCCAAATCGGATTTGCGACGCATGTTAGACGACTATCGCATACGCTATGACAAACTATCAAAGGAGGCCAAGTCGCTCCAGTCTAAGCTCAGCAACACAGTAAGCAGCTCAGGTAGAAGCTCAATGGACTCCAATAGGTCTGGTGCACTGAACGGTTCGGGAGCTCCTACCCAGCAGGGGACTCCGGACGTCATGTATCTGAAGACCATTCTGCTACAGTTCTTAGAGCAGAAAGACAACAAGCTCCGAGCCCAACTCGTACCGGTGCTGGGGAAGCTACTAAGATTTGATAAGTCAGTCCCGTCTTAACCCAAAAGGAGTTCTAATAGCAAAGGCTGTCACGGTCTATTGTACTTTCAAGGAGCTCATGCTAATGAAATCTCAGAGCCGACGAACAGAAGTGGCTGGCGGCTGTCCAGCATATCAGCGCTCGGTAGGCTTAATGCAACAGGAGAATTCCCGAGCCTCGTTGAGGCAACCTATTGAATCGAAGCATCGCGAGCTTTGAACAGCGACTCTCAAACCCGTCTCTAGACGGTTTACAACATGTGTATAGCTAGATTCTCTGTGTCAAAGTGTGGTGTGCTGCGTTTGGCAAGAACTCTGAGACATGAGCATAGCGACGGACGAATTGTATATTGTATCTCTTACCGAAGTCGCTTGGAGACTTATCAACCAGTCCATATGACACGTTCCTCTGTAGCATTGATAAAACACGGCAGAATTGACTTGGCCATGCTTGAATCTCTGCACACTCTGAGAGCTGATCCACACTTCTATCGAGAGTAGACGGTGAGCACTTCCTGAGAGAGCACCGCGCTCCCGGAGAGGCGTAGTCGTTCCTTTGGGGGAGGTAAGACCGGTTCGTTTCAACTCTCAATATTGTTAGGCTGCTTACACAGCAGAATAGACACCACGAACAGACACAGGGCAAGCGTTGCGTGCACAAAGAACAAAGCTATTGCGCAGAGAGCATGCTTTAGTTGCTTCCTTTATGCGAGCTTTGCCAGGACAATAGGCTCTTTCAACCCACTCTTTGTCCTCGTCGATCGCAGGGTTGAATTGGCAATACGTTCGTCCCGTGCAGTGAATAAATAATCGTGTTTTCGTAGTTTCAAAAGTCTATGTTTCATTATTCGTTTCTTTTCCGGCAGCGACAAACACAATAGGATGTCTTATCATCTCGGAAACGTGGGTGGATTAGGCCAAACCCGGAGTCCACCCTCTCAGGGCATTCCGACATGCTTCCAGGTAGCTTATCCCATTGTGTGTTGTGGTTGCTTCAACCCCTTGAACCCTGACCACAACATTTGTTGCGGTCACTCGCCACCGGTGTGCACTTCTTGCACAATCACTAACTTTGAAGGATACCCTCTGGCTCATGCTAATGGGGAGTTAAGTTTATTCTGTTTGTGGGCGGTCGAGCTGATACGTCTTCGGGCCGTGAACGACACGCATATGAACTTAGTTGCTAACATTGAGCAGCAGCTCGTTATTGCCCAAGCGAGGAAATTTGAACTGCAAGATTGTCTGACAACACCCAGATCGCTTGCAGAACTAGCAGCTCTAACAAGGTTTATTGACTGGAAAGCCTCTATATTCCAGATTGCGCTCGTGGAACTGGGTCAGAGCCAAGACAGCTTGAGACTGTTGGAGAGCTACGTGCGGTTCAATGGTGTACATATCGAGCAGGAGATGGCAAAGATGGGAATCTCCTGGTCGTCGTAAGTGTGTATTTTCCGATAGTCTCGTCCATTCTACTGATTGTAAATCAATATAATAAAACGTCTTTCTAGCTAAACCAGTCCCGTAGACTATTACGAAGCAGTAGGAAAACCGTGTTGAACTTCCAAAATATCGCAAATTAAGAATAACCTCACTTATTCGATCATACTTCGTCTAACCTTCGTTGTTGCAGGTGCCGTGATGACATACTTCAGAGTCCAGAGCGCGCTATTTTTATTGCAATTCCTAGGCATATTATGAGTGCTCCGCGTCATCTATGGCTAAAGTAACAATGAAGCGTACGTGTGCATGTCAGCCCTGGAGTCGGCACCTAGAGCTGAAGTGATGGGATGTGGTGCGGCCGAGCCAGCCGGCCGTTCTAGCGGCCGCATGTTCAGCCCGGCGAATAGCGTACGGCGCCTCCGTGCGGGCCGCCGGCCGCCGGCCAGATTCTCTAGAAATGCAGTGCGGAGCTCCGATGGCACCTTTGTCCTCTGCAAATCGAATACCCGCGGTATACCTTACCAAAGTTATAAGAACCTCTTCATTTTCTTCTGGAATTTGCTAAGCTATGATGAAAGCTGTACAAATTCCACACCATTCTATCAGCCCTATTACGGCATTCATCTTCTGCTTTACAAGTAAACCCGCGTTTCAGACCAGAGCTTCTTGTCGTATTCAGCAATGACACTGATGAGCCAAATGTGTCCGCCGAAGGCGGCTTTCACCGAACAGAATCTTCCAGATCTCAGCGGAAGGGCAAGTGACAAGCCGTGTTTCTTGATAGCTCCAGCTCAACGTGTTAAACACACAGTCTAACGATCTTTCTCCCCAGGTTTACCTGATTACAGGCTCAAACACGGGCGTGGGTAAAGAGCTTGCCCAAATTCTATATTCTCGTCACGCGAAAGTGTATATCGCTGCTCGTTCCGAAGAAAAGGCCAACGCCGCCATCGCATCTATACGATCTTCTTGTCCTGCTTCGAAAGGACAACTCGAATTCCTACCTCTCCGCCTCGATGACCTGAAAGCCGTTGCGGACTCCGCGCGAGCCTTTTTGAGGACAGAAAGCCGCCTCGATGTGCTGTTCTGTAACGCAGGGGTAATGTAAGAGAACATTGAGTCCTCATCCTTTTCTTTTCTCGCCACGTTGGCTTTCTAGGATGACCTGCACTATGTTCTTGTCAATTTCTTAGCGCAAAGAAACGTCGTGATGATCTTGTGAGGACCGCGCTGATGTGATGTATCATAGGCACCCACCTGAAGGCTCCTCAACGGTACAGGGATATGAGTTGCAGCTTGGAGTAAATAATCTTGGTCATGTGCTATTTGCTGAGATGCTAGCACCTTTACTTGCACAGACTGCTAGGAAGCTCAACGAGGAGGGAAGGACGAATGGCGTGAGGGTAATTTGGGTGAGCAGCTTATATGCCGAGACAGGCTCACCAAAAGGGGGATTCGACCCAGAAAACATCGACTTCAGCAAAAAGGATGTGACTAAATACTACAAGTATAGTGTGAGCAAGGCCGGTGTGTATTATCAAGGAGTAGAATTCGGCAGACGTTACGAAGATAAGGAAATAATCAGTGTTGTAAGTCCATCTATAGGCCGCGATTGCCAGAGTTCAGAAAGGTGAAGCTGATCGAGAATTGAATTAGATTCTGAATCCTGGAAATCTGAAATCAGATCTGCAACGACATGGCTCTGCCATTGTTTCAAAAATCGGCGGCCTTTTGTTGTTCCCTGCAATCAATGGAGCCTACACAGAACTCTTCGCAGGTCTATCGCCTGACGTTACTATGGAAAAGACAGGCTCGTACAGTAAGCTTTCTCTATCTTTCACATGGACGCAGTACACTCAAGCATTTTAGTAATCCCTTGGGGGAGATTTGCCAAAATCCGTGCGGATCTTGCCGTCGGAGCTATGCCAACTAACCAAGGGGGCAGTGGAATGTCGAGTAAATGGTATAGATGGTGCCTCGATCAAGTGCAGCAATACATGAACGGCGATTCATAAACAGGCTCGTTTCGAACTGTGTAAAAGTAGAAATAGCCCTTAGCAAGATCACAATACAAGGTCGGCTCTGATGATGACAGAGCACTTGTAGAACTAATTTCCAAGATATATGCGGACAAGATGAAGGCATTGGCTTGCGTTTCGACCATAAATAAGCAAGTTTTCTCGCTGCAAAAATATCAATTGTATTCTTGAATCTATGTGCCCACTCCTATGTTGAGATTGCAAGCTAGACTATACATTTGCCTGCCATGTTCCAATGGTCTCAAGTTTGGGCAGCATTAACGATGATCTCCACAACCTTGTCCGGCATACTTAACGCCGGCGTATGACCACTTGGAACTCTAACCACATTATCATACGCTCCGGTTGTTATAAACATCTCTTGATATGCCGGGCTTACAGCCTCGTCATTTTCAGTGAAAACGTAAGTTTTTGGCACCTTGATATCGGATTCAATGAACTGAGGGAACAGCAGGAAAGCCTTACGGCTTTGGGTCATATGTAGATCATTCCACGCAGCATCTCGAGCTTCCGGGCTTAGGTCGCTATACCAAAGAGGTTTGGCGTCGTCTTGCAAGTGAAGAACGCCTTCCTACGAAATTGTCAGCGAGTGATGATTCATTGCATGGATTTCAATGACCTACCTCTAAGACGTGGTATGGCATTAGGGGAGGTTCATCGTCTGTTCCCATCAGGCTCTTGCCACGAACGGGTGATGCAAAGCCAGCTATGTTGATAACAGCCCGGATCCCGCCCTTCAGACCTTTTGCGGCACGGTCCAGAGTGGTTTGTCCCTCAATCGCGACGCAGGCAGGCACACTGCCATAGCTGTGCGACACAACGATTGCCTCTTTGCCCTCGTCTAGGAGAGGCAGTAGTTGGTCGTGTATGAGCTTAGCGTCATCAACAGGTCCCTTGTCAGCCAGGTCCTTCCACTCTTTCGCACCCGCAGAGGACGCGGTGAGATCACCACAAACGGCTAGGGGCGGTGTCAGCGCGGTGAAGCCTTGACTACGAAGACGCTCAACGACTCCGTTCCAGACGGAAGGCCGATGAAAGGCCCCAGGGATGAGAACAATGACCGGCTTTGATGTAGACATGATAGTGGCAGTGTTCTTTTATACACAGAACGCTGGAGACTTGAGAGATATTTCGAGAGCAGTGAGATTATGTTTGCAATAAGCCGCTGCCATTCTCCAGGGTTTTATACTTCTTCCGAAGGATTTGATCGCGAAAGAGCTCGGAACAGTGATGCGAGCTATGAGGCCTTAGCTCCAAACATTGATCCATCATTTTCGGGCCCATGTCTGACGGTGATGAATGCATGCCCTGGCCCATTTACCAAATAGTACATTTCACTTGTGTTGTTTGTGGGTTCTAGACGTAAGCTTTCTACCAGAGGAGCTTGTATTTTCAGTTGGCGTTGAGGCTGTAGCTGAAGTATCTGAGCTGTTCTTGGCAAGATTTGAGTGCTGACAGCAGTTACGAGTTCCCATATTCAGCATAGCGTGGCTTATGGCAGGCCAATGGAGCTCTTAGCTTACGGTCCGGGGACCGCGCGCGGCTCCTACCTGGTTCTTTACTAGACATTACATCGTGGACAAATCTCGTGTAGATAGTCTGAACATGCTGATACCGTCACAAGCTTGAATACTTGAAATGTTCTCAAAACTATTACATTTTGTTTCCTTAAATTAACCACTACATGAAGAACAGACATGAAGCCCTGGCGCTGCTCAGGGGTCGCTTGTTTGCTTCTCCTATTAGCACCCGTATCACTCGAGGAGTTGTTCCAACATCTGACAAATACCAAGAAAACAAAATACAGGGTAATATACTGCCGAATCGCCTTGCGCACCTGAATAAACTTCCCATCAAATGAGCACATCAAAGTCCGGAGGATTCATCAAAATGGCCGGAGATAGAGCCACCGCCCGAGCGAGATCATCATGTACGCTTCGCGCTGTTGCAATTCTCTGTCATAGCCCTCAGGAGAAATAGACTGGAACCCTGTCGCAAGCCATTGTCTCGTGAGATTCTGTCCGAAGGCGCATCTCCTAGCCCAAGTCTGTCCGGGCCATCGTAGGTACAACGTGAAGATCTTCCCTGAATTGTCACCGAGTTCTGTTCTAATATCTCGCCATTGACTAGCTTGCCAACAGGAACGACCGAGAAGTCAATGACAATATGACCTTGTTACTTGTAAAGGCATCATACTTGGCTTTGCAAGTCTGGGTTTACAGTTGTAGCCGGCTTCTGACATTTGACTGCTTCTTATCACCCTCCACTTGGCACGAACACGACTTGCCCGGAGTCTTCCGAGCATTGGAGCGGGACGACTCAGTGAGTGCTTTGCATATTTTTCAGTGTACGCAGGCGGTGAACAGCTGAGGAAGCCATACGCTAAGATGCACTTGTGTATCTAGAGGCTGCATTGCCTGATGGTCAATCTCTTCCCGTCGCTGATTCATACCAATCGGCTGACTGTAGAGGTAATAGCAAGGGCCAGACATGATGATCGAGCTACCTCGAGTTGACTTCGAGGCTCCCAGGAGCAGGGAAAGAGAACTATTCCGCTGAACTTGAACCTTTTCAAGGGGTGATATCATTCGCTTAGTGCCGGGCTCTCGACGACAGTCCTGTGCCACCCTGGTAAAGGTTTCACATCCTGAGCTCTATAGCAAAGCCGGAGCCAAGAAGAGCTTGCCGAAGGCGTGCGACTGAGAGAACAGCGGGTTCGACAAGTATGCGATTTTTCTCAAGGGAGGCGTCGATGCGAGAGAAGATGACCCATTACTGATCAGTCCAATGAAGGAGATATGTATCCTTAACTTCATGGGATGTTATAGCATCATCCAAAGCCACGTGCTCTTATGCGCCTCCGTTGGGCTACTCATACGGTATGCAATGCTCAGTCCGTATGGAAAGATAGAGAACTTTCCTTGCCTCATTCGATAAGACTCAGATCTGTGAATCATGGCGCGTCACGCTTCCGCCAATAAATCGATGTGCTCGAGAAAGTATGGTGGTCGTCTTGTGGGAAGGCGAACTTGTCGTATGTCATGTCCATCTCTCGAATGCGCTCAAAGTCCGCGCTCTTATCGGAACCCGGGCACTCGTCCCAGACATCCCAGCCAGTACCGACGAACATGGCGGGCAAAGATTTATCGAGGGCGGAGGCCCAGATGTCCCGATAGAGATGTACGCCAAAAACCAAGGCATTCGAGTCGATAAGATCGAAAGCGCCTGGCGAATCGACGACGGTATGACCCAAGTCTTTGATGAGTTCCTTGTCCGTGGCAGTGAAACGAGGTTCTTGGAACACACAGTGAACGGGCTCGTTCGAGTCGGCCTCTGGAAGCAGACAGACGCACATTAGCGAAAAGAAAACGGCAGAAGAGCCGTGAGGGGGGCAATTGGGCATAGGCATACTAAGCAACTTGGTTATGGCAAGGAAGGCATCCAGCTGCACATGGGAGCGGCGAGTGGCATCGAAGGAGCCGTCCTCTGGGTCAAAGGAGCCCAGACCGAGGCAGACTGCGTTGGTGATAGGAGCGTGGGAGCGGCGGTTGTCGATGATGAGGTCGGCAAGGGCGCTGGAGGCGGGACTGGCGCGCCACTTGCGGGGAATCTTCTCGTGATCTGTGCGGATGTCCTGCAGGGTGAGGCGGGCGTGGGGATTCGGGGGAAAGTTGGACTCGGGGCCGGCCCTGGGGAGACGGAGGACCTGTTCTTGCCGGCCGATTGCTTTGCCCTTTCGGATCACGCGTGTCCATTGCGAGGCGTCGTCTTCGTGGCTCGTTGCCGAGGGGGATTCATCAGCATCAGCCATCGCCGCGATGGAGGTAGCAGACGAAGGCATCGCGATATCAAGTTGGATGTGGAGGTGATGTCATGGGAGACGGAGCTCCAAAAATATCAACATTTCAACCCCAGTACCCAATGGATGGATTTGCAGCTATGTGTTTTTCTTATCGATAACCGAGGGGTACCACCAAAGTTCTCTTTCCCCTCCATTCCTCCAAAATACCCATCTAGAACTCCTTGGTATGTGAGGGGTACAAACACTCTATCGAGTCGGGTAAGACGCACATAATTAGTAGGTGAAGTCATGGCACCTGGACCTGATGGTTGATGACGATTGATTCCAAAAGGAAAGTGAAGAGACCATATTCGCCAGGTACTCCCACAGGCTCTTCAGGACCAGGCGACAGACTTCGATCAATTGTTACTATTACCTTGGGCTGTCTTCCTTCGCTGTAACACAAAACACATAATGATATCGGATCTGATGTCCCGTCTTACCGGGTAATTGATAGATTGATACCAAATAAGTCTCTGCGCAGCCAGCTCCCCAACCTGATTATGGCTCGTCTTGTACTACGTGACAATGTAGGCAAGTAGGGCCGTGCAATCAGTAGGAAAGTAGATAGGCCGACTGATTCCAAATAGCAACAGCCTCGGGGACCTTGAGATTATTCACAATGACCATACACATGCGAGGGCGCAATCCTCAATCGATGATCAATGGACGGGGCAATCACGGCAGTCCCTAACAGTCTCGTAACTGCTAACCAGGAGACACCTGCCCGGGTCGGTAGCCAATGCTCTTTGGGAAGCATTCTAGAACGACACAGACATGAGTCTCACCGCCATCGGTGGTGTTGCTGCCGGGAAGAGATGAGCAGTAAGCCGTGATTTGCGGTGGCAGCACCGACACGTCGGACGGGGGCTCCACTGGTGAGCACTAACGACGGTATCGCCATGTCGTGGCTGGAAGTGCAACAACGGAGGCGACAATGACACGACACAATTGAAGAAGAAGCAGGCGCCCGGCGTTGTCGGAAGTCTCATGTCATGCATGCTGAGTGCCGGTATACCTCCAGGCTCGAGAAGGTAGGAAGGGAGGTAGGAAACTGTCTGTTATCATCCAGTCACAGTCATCCCTGGTCCCGTCACTCTGTCAGCTTACTCCCTCCTCTACACCCGACAGCTTGACACAATCAAGTTCGAAAGCTCATAGCCGCCACCTACTGTACTGTCGGTCTTGTGGGAAACTGAGAGGTGGCCTTAGTAAAGTAAGGAGTGTCGATTATTGGGGTCGACTCCAGCAAGGCTACACTGCATATTGTGCAGTGTCTGGAGATATCACTTCTACCGTCTCTACCTTAAACATTAATCAGGTACGGTGCCGTGGGCGGTTGTTGATTTGGTCTGATCTCTTCAGGTTGACCTCTCGCAGGTAGTTAGGTATTGAATCTTAAGGGCCTGAAAGGCCTTTTAATGGTCATGTCGCCTACATCCGAGCGATCCAAGCTGCAGCAAACACCTACAAATCGCAAACTGCACATTGAAAGATGATCTGCTCTTGACTTCACTCAACGATCCAGAGGGTCTTCTAAACGATCTTATTTTTATCATTTCCTTCGTTGTCCCGCATTCAGTGTTACTCTAGATGGCGCTTGCTGTCTGCTGTACTGTCGTCGCACGCGTGGCCATCGCCGTTAACAGGCATGTTCGGCACGGTAAGGTAAGGCACGGACGGGTAATCGTCGAGCAGGCTGGCTTGAGATGCAGAAAGAGGAACATGGCGATCAGTGTCTCCAAAAATAGCCTCCACCTTCAGAGAGGCACCTCCATTATGGTACGTAGCAGGAAGCTGCAAGAGTTGAGCAAGCAGTAAGCGAATGTTCCCCATCTCTAGTACCTACTGCTTAGTATGGTCCCTAGGACCTTGCGGGCCTGTGATTGGAGCTTCAATTGGTTCCCGGCTTGCAGAGCTGGGCGCTTAAAGACTCTCGGCAACTGGCCAGGACTCAAAGGAGGGGACCACCTGGAGCCCCTAAAGCTTGTGCAGCTCGACCCATCAGTCTTCTTTGGTCTGCACGTAGGATCGCTGTTCTAGCCAATACCGTCTTTTGTCTAGCATTCTAGTCTTCGTAAGAGAACTATGTATGGCGCAGGAATGAGGGACGGGAGTAACATGCAAATGCCCACTGCACATCGCAGTCTGAGGACAGATGGCACAGTATCAGGTAGGATGGATGATGCATTTAGCGCCCGCTTTCGGGTGGACAGAACCGGGCGCGTAGACATATACTTGTGCTCCATGCCTATCTTTCTTGGAAAGCTTGACTTGAACCGGAATCCAGGTAGCATGATGAAGCAGCCGGAGGAGATCGTTAGAAGACAGCGGCGAGGAAGGTTGTCAAATTTGAAAACGGCACTCGAGACATGATTCAGACTCGAGAACAAAGGCCGTCACGTCGGCCGGCCTTGCTCATTGGGCTGCATCGTGCGGCCGGTGGTGGACCCGATGTCAGCAGTTCGTAGTGGTATATCAGAGCATTGCTTTCAACAAAGGGTAGTGTGATTTTGGCTGAGCGACTCGCCCTGCCATTGACTTTGCCCATGCTCATAGGCATGTCTTCCCCTCTTCCTCCTCCTGGCCATAGATTGCCATTGCCATGCGTGAGCAGACAGCCCATTGGCCAGCAACCATCTCGGCGACAGGGGCCGGGACGGTCGGCATGCACGACTTGCACCCCGTCCGGCCGCTGTGACTGGCCCATCTCCTGCGAGAAAAGCCGCCCAGATAGATTGCCCTCGTCCGCCATTCGCTGACGACCGGGGGGGTGGCAGAAACCCACCGCTGGACCTGTTGACCCCGGCAGCCCCAGGGCCTCCCAGTGGTTCGCTGGCCTCGACAATATCGAATGGGATGGGCGGCTGGGAGGTGACAAGAGCCAAAAGTGAACATGCCATCCCCCAATTCCAGTCCGCGCTGGGCTGGCTGGCCTGCATCGCTCCGCGCGCACAAAGAGCCAGAGCACACGCACGCACGCACATACAGGCACTAGCAGCCAGCCAGGGTAACCGACATGGGCCAGCAGAGTGAGGGGGCGCCTCGAAAAAAGGCACATGTATGCGACTGAGGTGAGCAGAGCTGCAGAGAGGTGCAGGTATGTATCTATGTATGGCGGCCACCAAGCACCGTTGGGATAATATTACCTCGAGCCGCCCAGCCCAAGGTAGCCGCCTCGATTACTTCTTCTTTTCTTTGTTCCTTTTCTTCGATCTTGCAGATTCTCCCGTTGCTTTTCAGTAAAGGCTATTATATCAAGTCCCAGCTCGCAAAGGCAGTGCCTTTGTACACGCTCCTCAGCCCCCGCGTCCGACTTACACCGTATCGTCGAGATAAAGAACGGCCACCGCCCTTTTGGAGAAAGCCAGCAATTCCAAAGGCGGGGTTTTTAGGAGTGAGCAAGCTCTTGGCTGTCAGATTCAGACACCATAGAAGCCCAAAGACGATTGTTCGTTGTATCACCGAAGATAGCGGAGGAGTTCGTGCTGTAGACGAAGGTTAGGCGAACGAGGCTTGTGACCACCACCGATAGATCACCAGAACTCGGCCACACTTTCACGTACAACTCCAAGATGCTCTCATCAGTACTCGTGACGCTCGCCAGCCTGGCGACGCTGGTCTCTGCGCACACAGTCATGACCATCCCAGGCTGGAGAGGAGACAATCTCATCACAAACGATTCGTTCCCCTACGGAATGCAATGGATGTATCCATGTAAGTGATTGTCCCCTCCATCTCCCTTCCCACGCCTGCAACTTCCTTGCAATACCTGCTCTTGATACGGCTCTCCAGCTCCAAGCCTTGACTAACTCATATGCGCTATAGGCGGCGGCATGCACACCACGACCAACCGCACATACTGGCCCGTGAGCGGCGGCAGCGTTGCCTTCCAGCCTGGCTGGTTTCAAGGACACATGACAGCATTCATTTACGTGAACCTGGGCTTTGGCACTGATGGTCCGGATGGCGGTCCCAAGAACATGTCGAACTCGATGGTGTCGCCGTTCCAGATCCTCGGTCCCTCGAAGAATCCTTACCCCGGTACCGTGTGTCTGCCGCAAGTCCCGCTGCCGGCCGGGGCCAACGTCAACATTGGCGACAATGCAACGATTCAAGTTGTCGAATTGGCAGTGCACGGCGCAGCCTTGTACTCGGTAAGTTGATGACCATTCTCGCATGAAAGAAAATCTGGCGCCGAGCATCTTGACTAACTATTCGTGTAGTGTGTTGATATCACCTTTGTGGACGATAACGACCCGCGTCTGATGGAAATCAACGAGACCAACTGCTTCAACAGCACCGATATTGGCTTCGCCGACCTCTACACAATCACCACGAAGGAGTCGGGCCAGGACGGCAACGTGACGAGCGGAGCCGAGTCGACCATGTTCTTCCGCAGGTACAACTCTGGCTCATCCTGGCTGTACGCCACTTGGCTGCCGGTGTTCCTCGGAAGCCTGTGGGTGTTGCTGTGAGGCAATTCATCTTGACACACGAGAAAACACTCGAAAATGACGATAATTGTTCGACAACATCGTGCGAGATGTTTGTCCATGACTGGTCGAGCCCGAATCACCGCCAAGATTCAAGCTCGACGACAGCTGGTGGGCGACGACCAGCTGCTCCTGTATATTTGGCATTAAATCGGCGTTGGTGGTCCTACCTTTGGAGTCCTCTCTAAATCAGCAGAGCGTATCTCTTTTAATCAACGCTATTTTCTCCTGTCGGAAGTTGGTCACCGATTTGGAATCGTTGGAAATAGGCGTGTGTCAGTCAAATAGACACCTCGGATGGACTCGGTGGCTCTGCCTACTTCACGAATCCCCGGCTGGGACGAGGCATACCGGGGAAAGCTGTGTATTTACTCTTGAAAGCCGATTGAACAGCCAAACCCCTCGAGGTGACTGTTCAAGTGTATAAGGCCCTGGTTTCTCTTGTCCGATAGATCAATTAGTTGGTAAAAGATCTGGATTTGCAGTGAAGCTCGATTCTTATTTATGCATGTGTTGCTGCTAAGACGAGCACTGGCAATTTGCTTCGGAACTTTGCTATATGCATTACTGTGGAAGGGATCCAAATTCCTAGCGCTTGTACATTGTCTTACATCCTAGTATTTATGATTGTGGTACTGATCTTTAAGTTTATACGTATCTACCTCGGATCCGGCCTTATGGGCTTGAGGTAGATGGACATTTTCGGTCATTCCGCTCTATGTCGTTGGTTAACTCGATAAGGGCTGTGATCCGGCCCGCCCCTTATCGCCTCTCCTCTAGTTACACATATTGATACCAACATTCGATCAGGAGCTCGGGGGAAGGTGAATGGCATAATTCGAGCGCAAACGTGTTGCGCCTGATTACCAAGGTGCCCGGCGTGATATAATCTCGAGGCCGAGTAGATAGCTATCAGGAGCTCCATCACTTGCTTGGCGAGCTCACCGAAGTAGCGCCAGGCACTCTTTGGCGATGTCTTTTACTCTGTCCTCGCTTGCCTTCCCTGTCGCTGTCTTTACCCACGCCTCGGCCCCGAAGGAAGTCACCGCACTCTTGTACTCTCCTCCGATGGCTGCAACAGTCCCTAGTGCAGCAAGAGCGCGATAGATTACCTCTGAGTCCGTTTGTTCTTGAAGTATCTTGCCGAGGACATTTCCCATGAGTCCAACAACTACTGCGTCAACCGATGGCCCTTGGATGCCTCTCTTCTGTGATGCATGCGCGAGGACAGCATAATTGATAATCGTGGTTGTGAGCGCAATCAACACATTTCGGTTGGTATGTCCGATTGGCCCTTTGATGATGCTGTCGTCGATGCCGACGACGCCTTCCATATAGCCCACCACATCAGATGCCTTCTGTACAGCCAGCGCCCGGCCGGGCTCGGTAGCGAAAAGATTGGCAAGTGCGCGGAAGGCCATCATAACGCAATTCTCGTTGATTTTTCCATTTTGCACATTGAAAGCCGCATTGAGAACGACTTCGATAACAGACCCATATCGGGCGTTTTGAAAACGAACAATGGCTGGCGATGTGCTTATACACCGCAGCAAGTCTAAGCCTGGTAGTCGATCAAGGTCAGGCCATTGGGTCACAAGCTTCAGCACCAAAGCTAGGCCCTCCTCTGAAACGGTTAACGTGTTAGAGGAAGAAGCCGTCGCAGAAATGGTCGTCGGTACGCTGGAGGCAGCGGCCGTCAGCGAGGCAGTGAGTTGCTTCAGGGTTGCTTCTTCTGTCGGGTTAAGGGCGTAGTCTTTCCGGCCGGCGGATAACATTGTGGCATTGATGGAATTGATTTTTCGAAAGACCGCTTCACCGGGTTAGAAAAGTCTGTATACAGTATAAATCAGAACCAGAACTCACGATCAAATTTAGCTTGCGCCAAAAGAAGATAATTTTCCTGGGGCAACACTCTCCTTTGCGGTTGTTGTGATTCAGAAGCCGAATTTGCTCCAGGTTGGTACCGCCCGGTTCCGAATTCATCAGTGGTCGGTCCTGCACTTTGTCCCAGTGTAGCACCTTTGGTATTTTCGATTATGAAGTTTGCAACGTTGTCCAGGTACGAGAGAGGCAGTTCGTTGTCGCCTAGGAATTTCGTAGCGCGGTCGTAGGGGTTCTCGGAAAGGTTGTAGGGGAGCTTCAATGGAGGCTTGCCATCCTCGATATCTACATCGAAAACGTAATCGTAAGACTGGCCATTGTATTCTACCTTCTTGCCACTGCTTCCTACTGCATCGACAACAGTACCAACATTGATCCATTGCTGTTGACCTGTCATGCAAGGTTAGTATTTTCACGGAACTCAATATTAATGGTAATAAAGGCTTGCATACTCATTGACCACTGATGAGCTGTGACGGCGCCGTTGTCCTCCTTGATCATTTGAACCTGGCCCTCCTTGGTCCCTGATCGTGTCTGAAGAAACTCAGGCCCGGGAAGCTTTTCCTTGTTGATGCCTCCGACTTGCTGCTGGGGTATTGACGAGGACTTCACCGCTTCTTCAAACAGCCTGATTGCTTCCTCATCTGCCAGCCTCTCCTCGCTTCGAGTGAAGACCCGAATGACACCATCGCTCGCGCCAGAAACGATGTCTCCAGACTGCTGAGACACTGCAACGCTCCACACAGAGATGGCAGGGTGTGTGATGGTTTGAATGCATTCCTGATCTCGCCATATGCGCACTGTGCGGTCCTCGCCGGAACTGACAAGCTCGCCCGACGGCAGGGCAGCAAGGCTGTAGACGAAGCTCTCGTGGCCGTGCAGCTCGCCCACAGCCTGGCCGTTGAGCTTCCACAACCGTATGACCCCGTCATTGTGGGCGCTAGCGATGTCTGCACCACTGCTGTGGCTTTGGGGCACCTTGCAAATCGCTCGGACGACATCAGGGGTGTAGATTGTTGACCGGGGATATACCTGGCCACCTGAGCCGGACTGGAGGTCGAAGATGCGGATCTTCTCGTCCGCACAGCCTGTGATCACCGTGTTCTCGTCGTAGGCGAGGACTCCCCACACGCTGGCGCTGTGATCCTCTAGCCGTATCTCTGGCTCCCACTTGCCAACACGCCAGACAATTGCCTGGCTGTCCCAACCTCCGGAGACGATATAGGTGCCTTTGGGAGAAACATCGAGGGCGCAGACATTGTGGCCGTGGCCGATGAGAAGGCGCTCAGCATTGTCCGAGGGGGTGGCGGTGGCTTTCTTGACCTCGATAATGGTGTCCTTACCGCCAGATATGATTAGACCGTCCGGGTATTCAGAGGAGGGGCCAAGGAAGGCGAGTGAGTTGATGAACTCCTGGCCTTGGGTGGTTATAGACGGCTCAAAGGCTGGGGGCTTCGGAGTGGTCTTGCGCCAGACGCGAACAGTATTGTCTCGAGAAGCGGAGATGACGGCGTCGGGGGAAGGAAAGGCAACAGCCCGGACCTGCGAATCGGCGAGGACAGAGGGTCAGTCGCATTCTTGATTTGCAGGATGTGACCTCCATTGCAATGCCAGAGAACTTACATCAGAGTCGTGGCCCGACAGTTGGGCAGAGAGCTTGAAGTCGGGCATCGTCTGCGATCAAGGTCTGCGATCAAGCGCGGCTTGCACTTGTCTGTCGGGTCGGTGGTTTGGTTGCGAGGAAGATGCCTACCTAGGTATGGAAATAGGATTGGTAAGGGTCGGGTAACGGGGTTGTTGATCGAGTGGAGGGGCAATACGGTGAGAAAGCTTCCAGGTCAAACAAACGATTAACAAAATGGATGAAAATAACCAAAGGGAGAGGGACGCTGCAGTCTAATGTAAGGCACCCAGTCTAGATACGGAAAGAAGCTATCGTCGAAATTTGGGGTTGTTTAGGTAAATAGTAGGCGCGGGGTGAGAGCTTCAGTCGTTCCTTCCATGAAGCTCTATTGCTGTCTTCCCCGTGGCAGGTATGATGAGGTAATACCTATTCCAGGTTAGCCCAGTAGTGTAGGTACCTAGGTACGTACTACACGCCCCCATCAAGGTACCCCGGTGGTGCTTTCCCTTTTGAAATCGCAGCGGCGGGGTTGCCAGCCCATTTGGCGATTCTTGCAGCTGCCCTTGGCCTGTCAGCCCCTCGCCGGGCCGTTCTATCCAGATACCTGGGTACCTAGGATTAGCCTTACCCACTCGATTTCAAGGGGCCCAAGTGTGGAACCTGGAGCTTTAGGTAGGGCGGGAACAGGCACCTCAAACCTCAGAGACATGTATTGGATATCGAGAAAAGCTCGACTCACCCTTCAACCTCCAAGTGCTGCTCAGCCTTGTTCGGCCTTGTCCTCCTCCTCGCCTTACCTCTCTCCTCTCTCACACACACATTCTCTCACTTCTTGTTTGGAGGCGGGCCACATTTTCTAATTCTTCTTCTTTTCTTCCGCTCCTGCTCCTGCTCCTCCCCCGCTCTGCCTGCTTGCGTCAGTCTTGTGGACACGCATTTTCCCTGATCGCAACGACAAAACAGCCACCTCTACTCCTGCTTACTTGCGTCTTTCCTTCTCACGACGTTACGACGAACCTACGACAGTGTGCTCCTTGGTCTACATTACCCTAGTTTTTGTTTTTCTCTCTGTCTGTCCGCTCCGCCTCACTGGGATTTCCTCATCGCCTTGACGGCTACTCCGAACCGACATAAACTCCCTGTCCTGTGACTCTGCCCTCTTCTCCCAGGGACTCACTTGCCAACCCCAAAGCAACAAAAGCGTGTCGTGTCCTGGCGCATCGAGCACAGGTACCCTCGATTGATCCGCTACCTCTTTCGTCTCGTCGCACAATCCATCTAAAGCCTGCCGCCCTTCATTGCCTACCTGTCGACTCCTTCATATCCGTTTCCGACACTGCTTCAAGTCACTATCATGGCTAGTGAAGCTCCTCTTCGACAATACGTTCCCCTCACCTGCCATGGTCATTCCCGACCTGTCCCGCACGTCTGCTTCTCTCCCCTCGAGAAAGACGATGTCTACTACATGATCTCAGCCTGCAAGGGTAAGCACTGGCCTCCTACAGGACAAGGCGGGTGGTTGACTGACATGGCCGCTTTCTACAGACGGAAACCCCATGCTGCGCGATGGCCAGACCGGCGACTGGATCGGTACCTTCATCGGCCATAAAGGTGCCGTCTGGCAGGCCCGGCTGAGCCCTGATGCCGGAACCGCCGTCACCGCCTCCGCCGACTTCACCGCAAGAATCTGGGACACACACACCGGCGAGCTCCACTATGTCCTGCAGCACGATCACATTGTCCGTGCTGTTGCTTATCCCTACGACAACTCGACCATGGTCGCCACTGGCGGCTTCGAAAAGAAGCTGCGCATTTTTGATCTACAAGAAGTCAAGCCCGAGATTGTCTCGCCCACGACCAACGGCAACGGCGCCTCATCTCCGATTGTCAAGGCCGTCACAATCCCGACCAGTCAGGCCTTCGAAATTGGCGCTGGCTCGCACGACAAGCCAATCAAGTTTATCGTGTGGGCAAAGGACTACAGCAGCATCATCACGGCAGCTGACAACACCCTCCGGTGGTTTGACCTCCCCACTCGCAGCTGCGTTCGCTCCGAGGTACTTGATGGGGAGATCAAGTCTTGTGAACTTGTTTCCTTGGCCCCTGGTTACACCTCGCCCTCCGACATTGGTGGCGGCGAGCCCGTCCTTTGCGTTGCAGCTGGTAAGACGGTCTACTTTTGGGGTGGCCCCAAGGCCGATGTGGAGATCAAGCGTATATCTCTATCTCACAGCATTGCCAGTGTGGGCTTGGATATGAAGGGCAAGAAGTTTGTTGTCGGCGAAGAGCCCGGTACATGGGCTCGGGTCTACGACTGGGAAGATGGAAGCGAGCTAGGTTCGTCGTCACTCGTTCTATCTTGTCCCCCAAAGCGATATTGCTGTAGGTCTAACTGATTTCTACTAGATATCAACAAGGGTCACCATGGACCCATTTGGTCGATTGCTTTCGCACCGGACGGCAAACTCTACGCCACCAGCTCCGAGGATGGTACCATCAAATTGTGGAAGAATTGCGAGGGATATTACGGCCTCTGGCGTGGCGGCGCACCTGTTGCTCCCAGCGAGCAGACGGCCTAGAGTGCCATGTCGCTCGATATCAGTGGCTCCTCCGCACAGGACATTAATGATGCTCCTTTGCGCGAGCTGTCTACGAATCTCAAGAGGCTCTCTGTTGAGGAAGAAGCTGATGTGAACTCGAAGTGGAGAAACGTCTTGTCTCCGGTGTATGAAGAACCCGACTGTATTAATCATGATGACTGCGAATCTCGAACTACTACCTGTTCGTCAAAGAGGAGCAAACTGCGGATCAAAACCCTGGGTCAGAAGCCTCTGTGTAGATTTGCAGGACCAGCTTTCATGGACGGGCATAACTCGACCAAGAAACCGTCTATGCCTTCTCTACAACTAAATCTGAGCCCGGGTTCTGTTGCGAAGCAGAAATTTCTTCGTCGGCTGGAGCAAAGAGGTCTCGCGTACACAGAACCAAGTCATCTTCCGCAAGCGGATTGAACTCGGTCCGTTTTGACTGCTCTGGTATGGTGTTTTTTAATTCGATACCTGCCACCCATCATCTCAACTTGTCAGGACGAAGAGGCTTGCCAGACGATGGATCTTTTTTTTCCAGCTCGGCGCTCAAGGGATGTTCTTCTGTGTTGGATTGGGGAGTGCGCTTGCATGTGGATTCCCTGATGCTCACCTTGGATTTCATCGTTGTACAACTACATTAAAGCTTGCACCTTATGCTTCTCCCCCCTTCCTCCACCGAAGAGAGGATTATACCCAATGATAATAATACAGACCTTGAAAAGTAATATTTACTGAGCCCATGCTCCATGGATGTCGTACTTTTGCCATAGTGCATGTACTAAAACCACAACGCCGAGGCTCATTTTCTCGAGTCAACAGCCAGGGACCCGGGTATTGAATGCACCTTTTCATGATGACTCATGTGGAATACAACGACAGGGAGTTATGCCATCCTGATCACTGTTACGGATCCAACCAACTGCCTCTCCACCATACGAAGTGCTTGGTCAAGTAGTTCTGCTGCAACGTAGTCGTCTTTTTGTGTCAATCACGCCTTGGGCTGGTAAACCACTGTCGAAGAAGGTCGCCCTCTTCTATCCAAAGTCTAGGGGCCTCGTTGTGCTTTCAACTGGCCCATATTTTTGTGTGTCTGACGTCGACCGAATTGTTCGAGGCTGCATCTCTTCATACTCAGGTATATTTGTCTCCTACAAAGACTACATACTGCCTGCCTACCTCGGAAGCCTTTGACCAGTAGACCATTCCTTTACTACACATCAACAATACGAAATTAAGAGGTATTGCAACCATCCTCAACATTTCTATCGCACTACCTGGTACACTTGCTAAACCCTATCGTTTATTTGCATCTACTCGCCCCGTACACCACAATTACCACACTCACTCCTTCCTACACTCTTCTACACCGGTAATATTCACATATAGCTCTACAACGCCTCACCATCACGATTGAGAGGCGGTTCTACCCGGAATCATACCTATTTCCCCCTTTACCTACCCTCTTTCTCCCAATTTCTTATACCCTCTGTACGTGCCTGCCGTCTCAGCCTCTGGACTGGGGAGGAGCCCTATATCAACATAGAGGTAATCAACCTCCCCTTTGAGAATAAACGCGAATCGACTTACACCCAACCCTAACACAATGACTCCTCAACTCAAGGGGCCGGAGGATTACTCCTCGAACCCCAGCACGATAAGAGCCAGACGCCGGAAAGACAAGTTGCAAGGCGGAGCAAAGGTCCTGGACCATGCAAAGATGGCTGACTACAAGGCTTTGATCGATGCGCGAAAGGCCGTGCAGAAGAAGGACGAGTACAAAAAAGCCACAAAGCCAATGCAGGAGCAGATGTTGACAGAAGCCATGGCATCGACCATGGAGAAGCGGTACGTGACTTCCCGGCTCCCTTGTTGACGAGCTCTTTCCTCGATTTGTCTGTTCATCCGTCCTGCCTTTTGTTTCCCTCAGACAGATAAGCAAAATACGATACTGGGACTGACACCAGCTGGTTTAGCCGTGCCAGACGCTTGGACTCACGATCTAAGATGGAAGACTATGACGCGGGCATAGTGAGGGAAAAACCTCGAAGGGCGCCCGGAGAGGCGACTGCTTCCATGACCAAGTTCCTGAGAGAGAATAACTACCTGCCGTCATTTCAGGACTCTGAGCCCGCGGAGGGTTCATCAAGCAATAACAACAACCCTGAGCCAAGCCCTTACAATCATGTGCCGCCCTCTACAGATCCGGGTCAGAATCCGGCTCTGGAAATGGGCATGGGAATGGGAATGGGTAGTCTGCCATCTGCAAGCCCCATGGCCGCCATGACTGCACCGATACCAGTGCGGCCCCTGAATCACGGGGTAGCCATGCCTGCGCCACCCAACCCAATGGACGAGTTGAGTCAAAGGGCGGCGGGTGGGAATATCAATCGCAACTTTGCAACTCCCTCCTTCGTCCCCGCGGAGCATCCATTTCCCTTTCTACCCAACCCTGTGCACAGCTTCATGGCCAACAATGGACCAATGCCTCCCGCACCTCACCAAGCCTACCCGGTGAGTTCGTCGCCGTCTCTGTTTGTTAACCACCCCATGACAACAATGTCCGCGCCGTTCCATACCATTCCCAACCCGCCACCCCCTGCGGCTCACTTTCCCCGAACCAGCACGGCCACGGCTGACGGCAACATGCCGGGTGGCGGCGACGTGGACTCGATACGCAGTATTCTCGAGAACCTCGTGCCAGCCGTGCGCAACGTCACTAGGCACGTTGACAATCTGCACACGCAGGTAGGGCAGCTTCGACAGGAGCTTTGTGCGCACACGAACCGTGCTGGAGAGACAGACACCAAGGTCGTTCAGGCAGAGAACGACGTCCAGGTGTTGACCAGTGAGACGGTGCCGCAGCTGTGGGAGGCGCTCAGTAAACTGGAGACAGCAGTCAGTGGCATCGAGACCAAGGTCGGCCAGGGCTCCGATGCCGAGATGACCAAGATGCGCGGTGTCATGAGGGGATTCCAGGACGCGCTGAACAGCGCCGGAGGCTACAACTGAGAACGGACAGTAGGTATGAGGCTGAATGACGATATACGACGGCGATGGCTCACTTCTTTCTACTTTTCGTCTCGTTTGACGGGTATGGATGGGTGGGTGGATGGCTGATACGGCAACACGAAAGAGCGGTCGGTCGCTGATGATTTCCTGGGCACTGTGCGCTCTGCATTATGACATGGCTGGGATCTCGCAGATAATCAATCCGTCACATACTGGCTTCAGTTTGCCAAGCGGCCCTTTTCTACATGGAGTTCAACGAGATGATAGATGTAGGTGGGGAGACGCAGGTAGGTAGGCACTTGCCCATTTTTATCGTTAGATATCTTAGACTAGTAAATGGGATATCGGATTACCCTGAAACAAAGCGACATACCTTTGGGGCATGATCCTGCTCATTATATAACCGAGTCTTCTTGTGTTCACTTGTTTCGGTCAACTGAAGTTAAACATGTCAAATTGACTGTTCTTAGATTGCAACGTAGGTGAGGGGGCCACCTCTGTCCTACCGGTAACCTTACCTTTCCTGACCTGAGTGATGACTACCTCAGCATACCATACCCTCAATGAGTATCTATCCCAAGTTTTCCGATGTGTAATGTGTAATATATGCTGTCGTGATCTGCTCTTTCTGGAGGTAAAGCAGAACTGCACTACCATCCCACTTACAGCGCGGTGCATGCGCACTTGCCTGCCGGCAGGCGAACTAGCGGCCGGCGTTGCGACCGACCGACTCCAATCCAGGGCGGCGGACGGTACCTTTTCGCAGCACCGAAATCCATCCCACATTCGCATATCATATATACACATTCACGCGCGCCACGCCTTCAAATCACTCTGCACTGCCGCGATCAAGTCTCAGGATCGTGCCGCCTAGTCACGACCTCCCTCTTCTACACTACGTATACGTGGTTCCAAGGCGACGCGATTGACCGAACGACTCCCCGCGCACTGGGCGCATCGGCCCGGTTGGTAGGAATTCAGAGCCATGGACGACGAAGATCGAGACTCCAATGCCAGCTGGGACGAGCAGGAACCGGAGCCAGAACCCGAACCAGAGCAGGAGCAGGAACAGGAACAGGATGAGCCAATGGAGGATGCTGAAGAAGGCGACGGTGACGCAGAGGAGGATGACAACGACAATGAAGACGAAGAGGAAGAGCCTGAACCGGAGCCCGGGCCTGACGCTGAGCGGGAGGGTGAGGGCGAGGGCGAGGGTGAAGGCGATCAAGAAGACGCCGATGCAGACCGAGAAGATACAACCACCGTCGTTGACGATCCTGCCAATCCCACCATCAAGCGCTCCTCCGCCACGCCCGGCGCCCGAGACCCAAGCGTGCCTCTGGTGACGCCGCCCTGGCGCCCGACCGTCCGCCCAGAGGCCCTGACGGCCAAGCTGTACGACATCGTGCCCACCATGGCCGCACCCCAAGCTACCTCCATCAACGCCATTGCCATCACCCCGGACATGCGCTACTGGATGACCGGCGGTAGCGACGGCTACATACGAAAGTACGACGGCGTGGGCACCATCAATGGCAAGCAGCTGCTGACCGTAGCCCAGCGGCATCCCTTTGTGGACAGCGTCGTCAAGGCTGGCATCCTTATGAGTTATTGGGAGAACGAGGAGCCCTCCCCGCCCAATGCTCGCGGTCTCGAGGAACACAATCTGAGCCCCGTCTACAGCCTTGCCGTCCACAGCCAGGCTCTGTGGCTGCTTTCCGGCCTGGAGAGCGGCGGCATCAATCTACAAAGCGTGCGCCATGACGAGGGAAAGAGGATCACATGTCTACAGAAACACTCAAGCGCCGTCAGTGTCTTGTCGCTAGCGCCGGATGAGAAGAGCGTGCTGAGCGGGAGCTGGGACAAGAATATATTCGACTGGGATCTGAACAATGGCCAGGTCAAACGAACATTTGACGACAATGGCGGACAGATATCATGTATCGAGCTGCGTCCATTGAGCGGGGCGCCAATACCCGCAGAGGCGAGCGAGGAGCCTGTCAAGTCAGAAACCATCGGGAGCAATAATGCGAGACCGTTGCCGAACGGCGTTTTCACAGATGGATTGAATGGGGACGCCCACGGCGCTGTCCAACCCGCCGTCAATGGAGAGCCTGTTGGTGACGCACAAGCTGGTTCTGAGCATGAGTCACTCTTTGGAAGCCCAGGAGGTTCCCTTTTTGGCGACGATACAGTCGGGGGTAACGCATTTGGCGGTGACGATGACAATGAATTTTCAGAGGCTATGCTGGCTCTCCAAGGCGATTCTCACGACATGGGCAGTGCCGGAGACGTGACCATGACCGATGTCGACATGTCTGCCCCTGCTTTTGATCTCGACTCGCAACCAGCCCCGGCGGTACAACCACCCCCAGATACAACAGCTGCACAGCAAGACCATGGCGTTGGCGGCGAGGTGGCCAATGCCATCAATGGTGATGCAACTATGGTCAATGGCGCGTCTTCTCAGGGCGCCTCTGCGGCCGGAACTGAATCTGATCCTACGGCTCCAGCAGTTCAGCCAATACTATCCGCTTCACAGCCCGAACCTTCGGAATCACAGGCTGCTCCCCCGTCGCCATCCCTAGTCTTCACCTCCCAACCGGCCTCAAGCCAACACGATCCCACTCAGTCCTCGGAATCTACTTTCTTCTCCGCCTCAATACACGGCACCATCCGCATCTGGGATCGACGCGTCCCCAATCCCGTCGCGCGCATCGGCAACCGTCCAGGTGTACCGCCCTGGTGCATGGGTGCCTGCTGGTCGCCAGACGGCAACTGGATCTACGCCGGCCGCCGCAACGGCACCGTCGAAGAGTTCAACATCCACAAGGCCCGCAGCGGCTGGGAGCCCGAGCGCGTGCTCAAGTTCCCCGCCGGCAGCGGCGCCGTCAGCGCCGTGCGATCCATGGTCAACGGCCGCCACCTCGTGTGCGCGAGCCACGACATCCTGCGACTGTACGACCTGCGCGACACGGCCGCCTTCAAGCACTCGACGGTCCCGTTCCTCATCATCCCCGGCCCGCCGAGAGCAGGCGTCATTAGCCACCTCTACGTCGACCCGACAAGCCGCTTCATGATTTCCGCGGCAGGCACAAGAGGCTGGGAGGGCTCGAGCACAGAGGTGTTGATAGGATATGAGATCAACGCGAACCAAAATTAGTATGCACCTTGAGAGAAGCCCATTGCTTCTGATGTCACTACTATTACTATGATTGCCATACGGTGTTCTTGGAGAGACGGATCGTTTGGACGGGGCAAAGCGCAGCACAAGATGTGCGGTATTTCAAAAAGGAATGGCGAGGCACTGTTTAGTTGTATTGGAAAATTGGAGATAATGATACCAAGGCACGTTTCTCAAACGCGGTGACCTCTCATGTAATCCACTGCGGCAAGTCGTTTAATCTAGACCAGTAGACAGATTTGACACAATCGCGATGATTCCAGAGGTAGGAAATTCTCTATTTGCTTATCTACTGCATGGTGAGCACTCTCAAGAGCTTGAGAAGCGTACTTGGTACAAAAAAAATACAGTCGTAGATTCATCGGCTATTGCCTCGACGTGGCCCCCAAGACTGGCAATTCCACATCGATTCGAGAACCTATAAATTACCACCCAGATCCTCCTCGTTGCCTCGGAGACTTTGTGCTACTGAATCAAAGCAACGCGAAAAGAATGGGCCAGTCTGGTGGATCTCGGGGTCATCATGCAACGTCCTAGCGAGAATGCCCCGAGCCCAGAATCAATGACCTTCTCGATTGACGCATATTTCGTCCGAATTACCGAGTTCCGAAATTCGATTTGTACCTAAGCTGGGCCACCAAGCGAATGCTTAAAGCTCAATGAGCCACTCGTCCTGGCTGGAGTCGTTCTTTTTAACAGGCATGGCGCTTCTGGATGATGAAGATCGAGCACCGGAAACTCCTCGAGAGACAACACCGACGACTTCTGCCTCAAAACCATAGCCCAAATGCGCTTCGGACACAGTATTGACCGGGAAACCTGGCGTGCCACTGTTGGCTTGCTGTTTGTTGGGTTCAGGGCGAGGAGAGGCTTCGGTGTAGATCAAGTCCATAGGTTGTGGTTGTCGGCGATTGCGAGGTTGCTCTTGAATTGCTGAACCGCGCCGGCCGTTCCTCATCGTGGTCTGACGCCACTGCTCCCGAATGGGGTGATGATTGATCTCGCTACTAAAGCCTACAGCGTTATGAGCGGTCGCCGATTCTCTTGCTGCAAGCTGACTCTGGTAGGCATTCTCGTCATGCTGTACGACGTTACGAGTGAAGTTCTGCCAAATCTGAGAGTGGCTAGAATCTCCACGAAGTGCGTTCTGATGTTGATGAGCATTTTGCTGCGTTCCGCCGTCTCGGGCGACTGTGAGACTTCCCCGATGCTGGTTGCTGAACCCAGTCGAGCCTTGTTGGGAAGGGTGTGCGGTGCTCGATGTGTTGCCCGACAAAGCTAAAGACGTATTGCCTCGGTCTCCCGTCCAAACCTGCCTTCGAAAGTTCGGACAATCGCAAGAACAGATCTCAGAGCACCGACGTCCGCATTTATGGCCGCAGTTCAAGGTGAGAGCGCATGGCATGACACACGGCAAATTCTTGTGGTCCATTGGGTGACACTTCAGTTGGCAGGCGTGACCGCATGTAAGCTGGCCCTTGCAGTCAACGTTGCAGCCTCCGGCGTACCTTGTGAAGTCGTCCGGCTCAGTGCACCACACCTCATTGCTGTGGTTTCGGCAAACGAGCGGCAGCCCTTTAGCCATGTTCACACGCTCCTGCTCTGCAAACCCGTTCCAAATACTTGCCCAGAGCTCAAATGACTCTGGACACGGTGTATTCAGCAGGTTGTCTTTGTTTCCGAACATGTAGAATCCTCTACGAGCACGACTGATAGCAACCGTTGCACGATTCCAGCTTTTCAGAAAGCCGATGGCAAACGGCTTGTTCGTCTGCGGACTACGGACTAGAGAGAGAATCACAATGTCATTTTCCTCACCCTGATAAGAGTCCACAGTGAAGATGTTGAAAGCAGCATCACTGACAAGACCATGTTGGCGATACTTTCTGATGAGCATCTTTCTTTGACCGTTGTAGTAGGTCAGGACAGTGATCTGCTCAATCTTCACACCATTGTTTACGAGGTATGTGACGAACTTGACGATCATTTCTGCTTCGGACTCATTTGATTTGGAGCCATCAGAGTCTGCTTCCTCCGGCCAGTTGTGCGTGAAGAACCAAGAGCGTCGCTCTCCCATACCTGGAATAAGCGGACGCTGGCGAGGATCTGTAACAAGAGCATGATCCAATAGCGATGGATAAAACTTTCCAACAATGTACCGTAGTTCCGGAGCCATGCGACGCTGTCTATTCAGCATCTGATACGGCACGCCCATGTTGACGAGTCTCTCGAAGACAGAGACATTGAGATTATAGGGATCTTCTCCAAGCTGTTGAATATCGCAGTGTGGCGTCAACTGCTGATGATCTCCCACCAAGATAAGCTGCTGTACGGATGGATACAGTGCCGAAGTCACATTCGCCTCGCGAGTCTCGGCAGCTTCCTCAATGAGGACGGTTCGAGGTTCCATGGCTGCGAGAAAGCCACGATACTTGGTCAAACCGGTGGTGGTGCATCCGACAATGGAGATTGATTGCTGATGAATGATGGTCAGATCCCTGGCCCATTTGTTGGATTTCATCTCTTTTGCGCGTAACGAAGCTTCTTTGAGTAGTGTACGGATTCGGCCAGCCTGAAGAGCTCGGAATTCGGAGAGCATCAGGAGGTACACACCACCACGGAGGCCTTTCATGACTTTCCAGAGATCGTCCTCGGACTTCAAAATCTCCTTGCATTTTTGCCGCCATTGTCCTATGCTCGGCACTCGGCCCGTCCACTTCTGAGTAAACGAAACGAAAGTGCCTCGGATACGGTCATCCTCGTCTTCACCGGCAGCGAGATTGTCAAGGTCGAGATCGAACTCGCATTCCGCAGCAACTTCTTCATTGACCTCTTCCTCATTGAATGCAATTTCTTCCTGTTGAGATGCAAGAATTTGCTGGTCACATAACCACAAGGATACAGGTGACTCAGTTGCATCTTCCCATTCAAGTTGGTCGGTGAGCGACTCGTACTGTGCATTGGTGATGAGACCCGCGTCTCTGAGCTGTTCAGGTTGCAGTATGTCTCCACCAAACAGGCCACCTGCGATTTCCAACAATGAGTTGATATTGGCGTTTCGTTCCCGTTCGAGAGTTCTGAATCCACCGTCCACCATGTTCTTGCACCTTTGCCGCAGGGAGTACACTGTTCGCTTTTTCATGCGTTCGTTATCCGTTCGCCCTCCTACACGTAAGATCTTCGCTCCAGCATCCTGACAGAGAAGGAGTAACTGGTCCAGTGCATGATTTGTCTGAGCTGACACGACGATAGGCGGATCTTGACGCTGCCGGTTATCGAGCATGACTCGTATGGCTGATACTGAAGTGAAGGTTTTGCCTGTACCTGGAGGACCTTGGACGATGGCCAATTCCTTGGTGACTATACGATGAAGCGCTGCGAGCTGTGATGCGTCGAGTGTCGTACAGTCTTTCATGTCTGGCATTCCAGCACGAATATCATGCTCCGCAACGGAGGCCTTGAGACTCGTAAGTAAAAAGGGGTCGGTCGAAGACTCATCTCCAGTGTCCTGAGGGAGATGGTGAACAATAGAGGACAGGTTCCAGGTAGCCGACGGGCTCTCAACAGACTGATCAGACCTATCGCAAGATACAATGTACTTGTCCAAGGGAGATGAGGTAGTTGCTGCATGTTGGAGACCGACCAAGGCGTGTCGAACTGCTTCGAAGTATCCATTGCGAGATTCGATCATGATCAAACCCTGGGATGGGTCTACAACCGCGTCATCAATATCAGCCCAGGAGATATCGATCTCGGGAGGATTCTGATCTAATCCACCGGCGTATGGTCGTTGCGCGACTACGGCCACCTTGCAAATCTTCTGAAATCCGTCCTCTACGGTCGAGATGGCAACGAGTGTCCCTGGCGTGAGCCGCTTCGACTGTTGCCACCTGATCTTCTTTCCAGCACGGGAAGTGGAGAATGCGATACGACACAAAGGACCGAGGCGGGTCATCAGGTAGCCACGAACGTGTGTCTGCGGTAAAGGTCAGAGAGAGAGGGGAGAAGATACTGGATCTGGATCGGGACTTACCGAAACGTAAACACAAGTGTTTTGATCATCCCTCATGTTCGGCTGCTGTCTGAAACAGGATACGGAGTACCGCAAGCCCTCGATGCCCTCACACCGGAGGATATCGTACTGGGCATTCAGGTAGGCGTCTTTCGAGGACCAAGGGCGGTCCACAGGGTTCACGGGGAGATCCCGTATGTAACGCTGCTCACGCAGCAACTCCCCTGACGTTGGAAGGTCAGGGTTACCCTTCCAACCATCTCCAGATGGCTGATAGTCAACATGACTGTGGATCATGTTGACCGCGGCTTCGCTCGGCTGGGTAGCCTGAATCCAATATGTGTCAGCTTTGGCAGCGACGGAACCCTGAATAGGGAAAACTTTTACCGTTGCCGGTACCCTAGCAGTGGTACCGCGGCGATCCATGCCTCGAGAACGGGTCACTGGGAGGTGAGTTTCTGCTGATTTTCTGGTTACACTGTCAGCGAGAGGAAGACTCGGTGGTGCTGATACGGATGCAGGCGTTGAAGTGATGAACAAATGGGACTGGGTTCGCTAGTACCTACGGAGGTTGGTGATGTGTAGGTCGATTATGGTGGAAGTGAAAGTGTGGGAAGGTGAGGTCAACAACTTCGAAGTCAGGAGTGGGATGGTAGAGGAGAGGGAAACTTATTCCACTCGGAGCTGAGGGAGGAATAGTAAGGGGGGAGGGGATGGGAGGGGTGGCAAGGGAAGAGGCAGCTTGGCGGAAACGTTGGTTGGGAGGGAAACCGTCAAGTTGCAGAGGACATCGCCAATTGACTTGAACAGGCTGAAGGAAAGAGCATCAACCCTGCCAGAGATGCTTTTGGAATGGGGGTGATGTGCCTTCTACCTCCAGCTTACACCAAGGACGGCACTAACCTCGAAGATAACTACTTTGGTAGTCAACCTCTAGGGAGGTACCTAACCTAGATAGACAGGTTGGTCAACACACCAAGTACCTAGGCAGTCGAGTTATCAACTAACTGTTACCTCGCAGGTAGCTGGGTATGGAAAGGTGACGTGTCGCTGACCAATTGACAAGGAAAGTGAGGGTCGGGTGGGTGCAAGTGCAAGTGCCCTGAGAAGGTAGGTAAGATGAGACCGGAGGCAGTACAAGGAATGACGTAGGCGTTGTTATGTCCATTCGAGACGAAAACGGAAGGAACGAGATGAAGGCCACACTTGACCATGCAGGCAAAACACGTACAAAAACTCTCCAGTCCTGGTCTGGCCCCGGGTTATCCTCAAGTTATATACCTGCTAACTTCAATAGGCTGGGCCTTGTCGCCCACGTCGCCTCGACCTTGAGCCTTGGGATGTCGTCAATATGACATAGGCGTTGTGTTGGCGGAACGCGGGTTCACTGTTCAACGAATTCAATAGTCAGTCCAGGAACCTTTGAAATGGCGCGGGAAAAGTCAACCAGCCGTGGGATCAACTGGCTTGCTTACCTTACTTGGCCCTGATGCAAGTTACCAAGACCTGCTCAGAAAAAAAGGACAGCGGAAGAAAGGGTTACAAACCCGACTTCCGCTGCACCTGACGAGTTTCAAGTCGTCGCGGCGGTTGTGTAACAACCGAGCCTTGTTGCCAGTTAGTTTTGGTTTGGAGCAGTCATGGACGGTTGTTGTGGCTGTCGACCGACAAACACGTACCCGCGTCTTGCTCCCTGAACGAAAACGGTAGATATGGTAGTCTACTGTTTTGGACAGCAGAGTGCTGTGTGAGAAAAAAAGAAAAGAAGTTGCTTGTTGACGGCTGGAGAACGCCGCTGACCTCTCCAGTGACTGGGTGCGGGAGGGATAGCGAGCAGGGAACTGCCGAAAGTCTATCTCGAGGCATAAGCAGGTAGAAGAACGGTTGTGGGATGGAGAAGGGGTAAAATAAATTGTGGAAGAAAAAACAGTTGTAGAAAAGTTTGATACTTACCACAGGGACCACGAGTCGTCTGAAGAGCGGAGCCTAGGGTTATGATGTGAAGACCAGGTAGCCCCCACAAGGCTGCTGCTGTTGCCACATGACAAGCAAATGACTGTCTCGACAAGGTATCAGTGCTAACCCAAGACAAAATAAGCCAGAGGAGTGTGATGCATAAAAATGCAAAAGGGGAACAAGATGGCTGGTCTTCAGGGGTGAGACTTTTGACTGTGGCCAATCAGGTACTGAGCCACAGGCTACAGTCTGCCATATGTGAAGGAGATGCAGCAGTGATTCTGTGTCTTTTAGAATTGTACAGTGAAGGCGGAAGTATCCAGTCGAAATATCCAGGCAGCTGTCGAGCTGATACCATAGGTTGGCAAGCCTAGTTGGTTGCTACAAGGAGTGTCTGTGGTGCCTAGGACTTGAAGCCTGGCAAATTTTGACAGAAGAGGTTAGAAAAAGACAAGAAGGGAGGGAATGATGTATTTGGGGACTCACACGGGCCTGCCCATTGTCAGGAAGTGCAGAAGACAAAGATTGATCATGTGCGAGACCTTTCATGAGACAATGTGTGCCAATTTACCTGATGATGTTGACATGCTTACAGGTTCTGCTGTTTGTGATGCAGTAATGCTGCTTGTTCACAACCTATGATTTAGCTCAGCAACTCTGCAGTAAGCAAACAGTCAAACTCTGCAAAAGTTTGCACATAATGAAGAGACAAACGAACTTGGTGGGATTAAGCATGAGGAATTAAACTCAAAAGGAGGCAAGACAGGCGTAAAGTCATCGGTATGGCAGACATTCTTACTCTAGCCAACATACCTTGGGGCTGCTACATACAGCAACAGGCAATAGAACAATATTAGAGTACTCAAAATGACATTAAGAAGTCAATACTTCCTGAAATGCCATGGTCTATTCTATGATAGGCCTTGGCCCAAGATTACTTGCAGCGCTGAGGCATACTCAACGAAGATGACAGTAATACATTCGTCATTTAGAAGGCTCCGAGTCATCTCAGTCCCAGACTCTATATGGAGTTGCTTCAACAATTATGCCATCTTCGCCACGATATCGACGTCTAAAGAGTTTAAGTACGCTCACAAAGAGTCAAATCATCATTAGTCCGTGGTTTTCAAGTCGTGACTCAAAGCCGCTGTCCACAGACACACCGCAGTAAGATTACAATACCTGCGGTTGCCACGGCGAGAATTTCATCATATTCCACAGTTTCACTGATAATTGAGTCTCAATTTCGAATGTTATAATATTACTGGTGTCATTGTGATTTGGGTGTAGTTGTCCACGACTCGGAAGAGACTTCATCTCTAGATATTGCGCACAATGGCACCGCGATACACGTATGTAGCCGGGAGTCATAATGCACGTAGAGGAAGCCAATGCTTCTTGTACAGTATATAAAGCCAAATATGTCTTGGATACCCATCAGCCTGTGCTCATTCAGAGACAGTTTCCAAGCATTCACTTTTGGAGAGCATTGTTCAATTTTTGCTACAGTCAGCGGAAAATGGAAAACATTACTTTTGGCCTTGAGCTTGAATTTGTCACTCCAGTTCTCCAGGATGGGCAAATAGACCCTGATGAAGCTTCTGAGGTTGCCGCTTCCGGCGCAGCTGGCCAGCCACGATTTGTGGCCCGAGTTGATGACAGCAATGACCCATACTCCGAGCCGGGATATTCGAAAGTCTACAAACATCTTGTAGAACTGATCAACACAGTGGCTCCACAGAAAGCCATGATGTCAATCGAAACGCGCCCTAATCATGGTTACGAGACATGGTTTGTGAAAGAGGAGTCCACGGCAGTAGAAGTGTCCGGACTGGGTCCGGATCAGTATTTCGAGTGGAACAATGTCGAGCTGACAACGCCGGTGTTTTCCATTCCCATCAGCGACAAGTTCCAATGGCCATCATCTATTGGGGATGTTGTGCGTCTGATTCGTCAGTCCTGTCGTGTTCGTACCAATAATAGTTGCGCTCTACACATTCATGTCGGGTTGATGAGTTCAGAAACGCAAGGAAATGAGAGCCTTGACAAGCCGGGGCTATACCTGCGCGAGAAGCTCGTCACTTTGAAGAAGCTGGCGACGTTGCTCTGGCTTGCAGAGGATCGAATCATGTCTTTGTGTCATCCTCTGCGGTGGGACATCAAAGAGGGCTGGAGTTCTTCTCTGAGAAGAAGCCCATACCTCAACACAATACTTCATAAGATGCCTGCTCTTTCCCAAAACCATAGTCAAGAGTACGCTATGTGGCTGGGTAAGGTCTTTGAATCTGCTGCATCTGAATCCGGTTATTCGGACGTAGTTCCAAAAATGTCGTTAATTTGGAACGCGAAGAATTGGCACCAGCTAGCCGGTTTTCTCAAGAGTCCTATGACACATGGGAAGTTGATCTTTGACTTCTCGCAGTTGAGCAGGATAGGTACCGTTGAGTTCCGACCGATGGAGGCAAGCTTTGATGAAGCTTTACTGAAGCACTGGACCGCAGTGTGTACTCGCCTCGTGATGTACGCTAATCAGCAGGCGACCGGTCCAAACGCGCAGCGATACCAAAACACCATCGTTAACTTGCTGCAAAATGAATCCGAGTATTCAATTTGGGATCTATTAGAGGAGATTGGGTGTTCAGCACAGGCTTCGTGGTTCAAAGACAAATGTGCTAGAGATGAGCGAGAGTTCCAGAATCTGAAAGCTTGCTTCGACATCAAGAACTCATACCCGATTCCTTACTATCTGCCAGGTAACGAGGCTCTTTTCTTCCCACCTCGCTCAGCCGAGCCTTGGGATATCAATGATTTGGTGTAAGTCATCGACTCTCTGAATAGGTTGCTCTTGAACAAGGGCTTGACTCAATGTTCAATCTTTGCGGTGAGTTTCGTATCTTCCAACGTGGATTATGCTCCACAAAATCATAGATCAGACTTTAGGAGAAGGCTTTGCAGCCGATTGTTTGTTTTAGCTTGCTTCCATGATACCTAATGACGTTTCGATCTATTTATTGATTAATGGCCCTGAGTGTACTGGAACTTGTGGATTCCACTGATGAAAGATGCTTTCTGAATCCTAAAGCTTCATCATATGATAATGATTATCATTACTACCTATCCATGAGCTGATAAACTGTTCATAAAACTATGATGTCCCTAGTTCACTGGAAACTGCCTGAGCAATCCAGTCCGCAATAGCCATATTAGTTACCATTGGGTTTACACCTGATGCATTCGGAAAGACACTCGCATCTGCGATGAACAAGTTATCTGTATCCCAAACCTGGCCTTTGGGATTGACCACGCCAGTGTTCTTGTTGCTGCTCATGCGGCACGATCCC